AAAACAAAACAAAACAAAACAAAACAAAACAAAACAAAAACGAAAACAAAACAAAAAGGTTTTCTACTTTCAAATGTAGATCTAAAAGCCAATCTACTTACGCCTTATTCCATAACCCACTGGAACCGAACGAGCTGACAGCACCCAGCCCAAGATAGGTGTTACCATTGACATCAACCTTATTCCATCCTGAAAAACTACCCGTGTATTTTCGTCCATCTACAGTCATCTGGACTTCGTTACCAGTCCGAGCGATTTGGACCTGCACAGGCCTATTGAGACTAAGCTGGTCTGACGCTAATGTAAACGTTGACTTGCCAGCGTTTACTCTGCGAAAAAGATAGAAAAGACAAACCTTTTAGGGCCATGCTGAATAGACCTCGCCCGAATTCGCTTGGGTGACCACGAAATAATGGTTTGAAGTCGAGACTTAATGATATAAGAAACGATACAGACAGTAATTCACGACGTTTCGAGGTCATGCTGACCTTATTATCAAGTGTGTTTAATGGAACTAAATCTTGACTATTCATAAACTAAATGAAATTTGCATTTTACAAAAAAATGTTGGCCATGAGGGAATCAGACTGAACATTAAGTGATGGCTTTTTTGATTGAATAAAAAGCATTTTTTAAACAAGGCATTCGAACTTGCTCGTGCATTTCTTAATCACATTAACGTTAGATGACAAGTCCCCAGGGGTGGTACCATGATCGTTTTTGTAATGTTTATATGGAGACTTGATTCTTTTATTTATCGCACCCAACCTCGACTTAAAACCATTGTTTTGTGATCAGTCGAGGGAATGCGGCAGAGGTTTATTACGCGCGACATGCATGGCAGCCGTGACAGACGAAGTAAGCGTGAGATGTAAGACAGGTGTGATAGGTGGAAGGCGCGTAGAGGACGGTCGTATCAAGCTAAGTAATAGTGACGGACGCGCAAGGCAAGGCAGATGTGACAAGCAATGCAGTCGTGAAAAACAAGGCAATCTTGATGAGCAAGGAAATTGTGACAGGCGCGAACGGAAAGGCAATCATGACAAGAGGGAATCATGACAAATAAGGCAATCATGACAAGTAAGGCAATCATGAGGAGCGAAGCAATTAATATTGTGACAGCCAAGGCAATCGTGACAGGCAGGGCAATCATGACAAGCGATGTATTCGCGACAGGCAAGGCAATCATGATAAGCGAGGCAGTCGTGACAAGCGATCGAGACAATCATGACAAGCGAAGCAGTCGTGACAGTTATTGGACAAGTGTGACAAAAGAGACCCAAAAGAGAAAGAAAAAGCTTTAGATTAAGAGAAGATTAATTTCTCTTCGTTTAACCCAATCTCGTGACCAGAGCCTGTGTTTCTTCTGGCCTGCAGYGAAGAACGAGGGCTGTGGCATAATCCATTTTTTGGTGCATGCGCAATTTTCGAAAAAGATATATATAACCGATCGAAATAATCAAATTAAAAACTGAATCACAGCAAAAATCGAAGTAAAAATCAAAGTAAAGATTATAGGAAAAATTAGATATCGGGAAAATATTTTTAATTTTTGGCAAGTCTTTGAACGCATGCGCTCTTGAACCGGAAGTCCAAGAAATCCTGGTCTAGAAAAATGTATTATGCCAGAGCCCTCGTTCTTCGCTGCAGGCCAGAAGAAACGCAGGCTCTGGGTACGAGATTGCGTTTAACCAAAACTTGTATCACAAATAAAGAGGAATGTAAGGAATCTCGCTGCGTCAGTAATATCATGGCGTTTTAGCCATTTTGAGATTGTGGGGAAAAAATGGGTCGAGTTGCATGTCATTGCAGTGTAATGTGGGACTGTTTTAGGGGACACATTTCCAAGATGGCGTCTATTTAGTCCACTAAGAAATTCCCACAATGCACTAAGATACCAATTCAAACCTACTCATACCAATTCATGGCTATTAGAACAAATCAAGCTTTAACTAAAGTCTAACTATTGTATAGAAAATTTAAAGTTTAACTGTGATAGATGTGTGCTCCATATACCTGTACTCAAGTTTTCCATTCCTCATCGCCAGAGAAAAGAAGTCATTTCCTTGATTTGATCCACTGTAAAGTATTACTCCGTTGTTGGCTTCTGGTTTAARGGAGAATGAGAACCCTTCTCCAAATGTAGTTCCCTTCGGAAGCAAATTCCGGTCTCTAACACCCTTCAGCCGTAGGAAAGGCCTCAAGACTATGTAGGAATTTGCTGACAAATACGGGACTTCAGCTAAAAATGACATTRAAAACGTTATAAATAGCGGATAAATGGCTAAAACACATCCACGTGAAAGAGGAGGTTGAAACGTGTAACAGAATTACCATGCTCTGAAATATTCAGATATGCAAATTAGGAGTTTTTTTACCATATTTGGAATTTTACGCTTGATTCAAGATGGTCGTTTCTCTCAAATGTCAAATCTCGCTGAATTTCCTGACTTTCAGAGGGGATTTAYTGAATCTTTCAATCAAACAATTCGTTACACGTTTCAACCTTCTTATAAYTTAATGAAGAGACGTCATATACTGGTTTTCTCCAAATCTTGGTCTACTAATAGAAGTTTGTGTGTGGAGTGTTTTTGTAAGCCAATATTTTAGCCCTATTCTGACTTTGATGAGCCCAGATAAAGCACAGTTCTGGACCAATTAGAGCGCGTGAAATGAGAGAGAGAAAAAATATGCAATCAAGAGCATACTACGTACATCTTCGTTCACAGCGAAGTCCAATGAATCCACTTTTGCAGATACAAGACGCCGTCCCATTTAAAAGTCTACATCTACCTGCGTTTAAGCAGGTCTTCATGAAGCAAGCATTACTAGAACACCTCTGGACGATATTCTYTTGGACTTTTGCTCCAAGCCCTTGCATTCTTGGAGGAGTACTAACATCAACGATTTGGTTTTCGAGTTTGAGGTTTCGTATACATCCAAGGAATCCTGCTTTAGTCTGCATCTTATTGAGCAATCTGTTGATAAATACAAGTTACTGAGGGAAAGTCCATTAATTATGCCGAGGTTGGAGGAGAGGATGAAGATTTCTCCTCAAAAACCTTTTCTTTTTATAGGCCTCCTCGTTTAGGACTTAACTTAATTTTTGAAGCCCCCCTCCCAAAACAACCGATGAAAATGTTCAAAATCAAATTGAGGGTTGTATCGTCGTGTACGGGAATTGTCAGGGGAATTCTATTCAAATTCAAATTTCAAGTAATCGGCTAGTAATCGTACCCTACGATAGCATAAATTAAACTATAATAAATATTTATGTGCACGCGCTGATGATACATCGTTTAAATATGACTAAAAAATGAAACCACCCAACCGAATTCACTTCGTGGTCTAGGGGTTAGGTTTAGGGTTAGGGTTAGGGTTGGCATTGTAGTAGTTCTTTGGTGCCGAAGGTACCGAGTTCGATTCTTGGTGTCTTCACTTAATTTTTTTCTAAGTGAGGAGAACSAAAATTTCTAAGTCCCACTCGTGTGTTCGGAAACCTATGACGCACTTCGTTAATCCGTACACGACGATAGTACCAAATTGAGAGCCCCCCTTGTATGCATGACAAAAATTTAGAGCCCCCTTTCATGACTAAAAAAAGATTTCGATCCCTACCCCTCACAGCAATGTTTTTTTTTTCTCGCAACGACTTCAGATCCCAAAGAAACATTTTCGGCCTGAATTGGATTGCCAACCGCTCCATAACAAATCTATTTTTTATCAGACCTTTTTTGGCCTTTTCGGACTCCAGAACAGCCATTTTTCTAAGAAACTTCTTTTTGCTTTAGTTGCTTACTTTTTAGGAATATCGAGGCTTCCAACACCACCGATGTAGTAACCAGAGTCAAGATTGAGGCTTGTGAGCCCAGCTTGTGCAGATCCTCTAACTACATCACCGTTAAGATCAAGGGTGGCAGCAATACCGTTTCGAGTTATCCGTAACTGGTTCCACTGATTCATGTTAATATTCTTCGAGCTCACTATCTCGACTGGGCCTTTGCCAAGGTTATAGCTGTGGAAAAATGAAAATCATTTATAAATAACTAGCTGAGTTCTAACGCGCGCTCTGATTGGTCCAAATGCTATTTTAGATGAGAGTATCAACAATAGACCCATTGCATCAGCACGTCGGAATGCAGCTCAATTTGGAGGACAAAACAATAGGTTTCCAATTTTCAGGAGATTGGAATTCTTCTCATTTGTCCTCCAAATTGAGGTGCATTCCGACGTGTCACATGACACGGAATTTTTTTCTAAGCAAGGACGCTCTGAATYTGATCTTTCTTAAATTTGCCGTTTTATATTGATCTAAAAGAGTTAGGATGAGAGAACACGAGAGAAGCCGAAAACCACTCTGCCTGATATCGTTGTTTCCTACGCTTCTCTCTTGTTATGTCAGCATCCCACATGTTTAGATAAGCTAGAGTATCATATCTAAAACGAACAACTGTTTATAGGGATATTTGATTCGAGAACAAGGCGAAATACTCCAGTTTCAAAGTCTCTGGTGCTCAGGGTCAGCGTCGATTTTGTGTAGAATATTCATGTCTTCCAGTGAAGGTCCGTGGAAGGTGTTTGTATTGTTGAAGTTGTGCATTCTTTACTTTACAGTTGGTATTTGCGAATACTTAGACAATGATTCGAGGCTAGCCCYGAGTATATGAGTCTGTAATCAAAGAACACAGGGGCAATTTGTAACTCGAAAACGTTCTTCTTGAGAAGAAAAATTTTCAGTGTAGCTTAGATGCTTTTTAAAATGAACACTATTAATTTTACCTTAAGGCAACTTCTCCTCTTCGTAGGACAAGGTAAATGTAATCGTACTTTCCTCTACTGTCGGGTGTTTGTGTGGCGTACAAAAGAACACCGCTCTGGCTTATAGGTCTAAAGTCCATCGAGATGTAAGTTGTTGTGGGAAGCCCAGGGAACGTACTGTAGTAAAGATAGCCTACTCTAGTTGGACCAAAACCAACGGAATCTCCTGATAATATAATGTTATGATGAAAAAAAAAAAAAAAAAAAAAAAAAACGATGTTAGGAATGAATTGGAATAAGCCGTTTGCATGATGGCGTGATTTTGCTAAGATGCATGTATGGTGGGATAAGTAAATGGGAAGATGGAAAAAATATAGGCCGATCTTTGTTTACGTTTTTTCCTCATTAGCATTAAAAAAATTCAAGCTACAAGCAAACCGACTCCAGAAATCGAAAGAGAATGTCTTATTTTAGTAACTACTGAAAATTTGAGAGTAATATGTTCAATATTTTGGAAGTAAAAGTTTTTTGAAAGCGGTATGATTTACAAAGAAATGTATGGTCGTGTGGCAAGACTTGTAGCTCATGGTTTGCTTGTAGCTTGAAATCTTTTTATGCTAATGAGGAAAAATCGTAAACAAAGATCGGCCTATAGATGGATGGATGGAAAGGAAGAAAAATCTAAATGTCTGGGCGGATGCTTTTGGTTGAAGGAGGAATATAAATGTGTACTAAAAGAAGAATTGGATTAAATAAATGGAAAAAAGATAGAACGATGGATGAAAAAGATTGATGGGGTATATGGATAAAGGGGATTGAATAGATAAAAGGATGGATGTAGATATTTCTATTAAGACCATAATGAATGAAGCCAGACGTCTAAAATATGTGATGGTCGTGTTTCGAAGACCTTTTCTTCCTGTACAAGGTGTTGCCATCCGGTCTTTGTTTCTTCATACAGTGATCATCACGCTCGGCAAAAACACGTCAAATCTCTAGCTATGGTTCAAATAACTTTTCAATCTCAATTCTAACGTTTTTGAAATGCAGTCATAATAACAGGTCTTCTTCTTTTCTTCTTCACAATCGCAGGTTTTCACTTTTTCTGGTCTTCAATTTTGGCGGGAAGAGGTCACGAACAAAGCAATTACAAAGAAATTTTCAAGTGATCCAAATTTTATTTCTAGCCTCCGTTGCAGACGAATTATGTGGTTCCCTTCCCTCTCACAACAGGGAAGCAAACCACATGAAAGTCTGCAACGGAGGCTATTCTAAACTTCGAGGTGCATACTTATTTTGGAAAGTGAATTACGTCATTCTGTTTTATTTTTAGTATCGAGATTTTCGAACCATTTTACGACCCAGAGGTAATAGAGAAGTAAGGTAAAGAGAAAACAAGGATAGAAAAGAAAAGAACACTTACCAGATATGTTAGTATTAGATGAATAGAGGTTAGTAGATCTATGGAGTAAGGCATTGGAAATAGAGAGGTGTAAAGAGCGCTTGAATTGACGATGCTTGTTCTGTTGACCACAAGAACCATCAGAACATTCTAGATGAAGATCCAAAAGAGATAGTGAAAAAAGGATCAAACAAACAAGACTGATCGATGAGAAGAAACATAAGGGTGCTTATATGCTACAAGGAATGTACCATAATACAGATCCTCGACACTAGACAGAATTTCTGGTAATAAAAGATGCAGTCCAGCTGATGCATAATTTTTGCGAGAGAAAAAATCCGAAAAACGTATTGAAGTAAAATAATGGATATGCGATCGATTTCGAAAGCTCTTACCGCACTGTCCTCTGTGCTTCACAACGATACGTCTCTTAATCCTACAGGACTCTTTCTGCAGAGTGCACTCATTAGGATAAGTAAGGTCATTACTTCCACAAACAGGATTGAAGGATAATGGACACTCTTGAGGACAAACACACTCGAGACTTCCATCTAGTTTAGCTTTACAGGTTGAATAGTAGTCACATTTAAGAAGAGCACAAGGAGCTGAGGGGAAATAAAGTCGAACAGAAAGGTGACAATTATAGGGAAAAAAACAAAGGGCATAGTCCATATGAAAAACGTCGTATCCCTTGAGATACCCTGTTAGTTCATCATTTATGGAAGACAACAATGCTTTCATTAGAAAGAGTATAGAGTATAGAGTATAACGAAATTAGKGATGTTCCAAAATTTGAGTGTAGTAATATTAAACGATAAAAAGCTACAGCTGTTAGAGACAAGAGACAAGATAAAGAGAAAACATGTCTAGTAATAGTAAAAAGGTTTACTCAAGAAAATGTGAAAATAAAGTCAAACAAATGCTTAAAGCCAAATCAAGAATGGGACACTAATAGTATGTTGGACTCCGACGAAGGACTAGCGTCCGAAACGTCAGTATTAGTGCAAGATTTTCCTACAAGAGCTGATAAACATCAAGAGAATATTATCATGTCCTTGGCGGCTTCGTATTCAAGTCCAATGTGTTAATCATAGGGCAACTATGGGGGTCCCAGGACAATAATTTTCTAAGGGAGCTAGCTCTACAAGAGCTCAGATTATAATACATTCATATCAGACTTGAACTAACTTACTGCAAGCCCCTTTCTGCAGCATCACGAGGTCTTGTCGCTTTTTACAAGCCTCTGATCTCAGAAGGCATTCATTAATGTAAGTGCGTCCATCGCTGCCACAGACCGGTTCAAATAACAGAGCACAAAGTTGTTGACACACGCAGACCGCCTGACCATTTTCTTTCTCGATGCATTTAGAGTAGAACCCACACTTAGTCGAAGAACAACCAACATCTTTTCACAAAACAGGAGAGTTGAATTCAAGAGGAGGTCGTATGAAGAATGAAAAAAAAAATTAGTTATTATATTAAAACTGTATCGGAAATTTTGCGATTGTACGTCATGTCATCGCCGCCATCGATTTAACTCTCTCGGGAATTATTACAAACAAACCATCACTAGTTAACCTAGTTATAATATTGTGTTAGAATTAGGATGAGGTTGGGAAAGAGGATCACGAGGATCTCTTTAGAACTAAAAATAATGATGGAAACAACGATGGCAGTCGTTTGAACCAAAGCAGAAACAAGAAAGAGACAATTGAAAAGCGATAGCTAATAAATCTTTGGAGAAAATGAAAAAAATATTAAAGTGGAATATGGTGAAAATAGCAAAATGGGGTAATGGAAAACGGAGACTGGAAGTCTGCTCTAAGTGCTGAGGTAAATCGCAGTGGTCTCTAGACGTACCAAAGAACACAGCAGTGGTTTGAGAAACACAAAGAGAATAAAGATATAGAATAGAACTTACAACATCGGCCTTTGAAAGACACAGTGAGCTTAATTTTCGATTTGCAGGCATCGGCTGTCAGCGAACACAAGTTGATGTATGTCTTTCTATTGCTTCCACACACAGGGTCGTAAGTAAGAGGGCACTTTTCAGGGCAGGTGCATACTTGTAAGCCGTCTTCACGGACCTCGCATCGAGAACCATATTGACAGTTGGTGTCTGGACAAGCTTAACGAAAAAGGACTAATGAGGAAAAATGGAAAAATGATGACAATGCTGTCAGGCATGGAAAAAAAATGAAATTTGATGATGCCTAATGAAAAGGATTGAGCACTTTAGAAATTTTATTTAACAATGTTTTTCTTAGAGTCAGTGTGAGAAAATAAAAGAGCCCTAAATGAGAAAGAATGAGAATTTGTTAGAGAATGCAAGTCAAAGAGCCGTCCATTACTATACATCATTGTAGGGTGGGAAATCTTGATAAGAAAAGGCATTTCCACCCTAGAACTACCAGGGGAAAAAAAAAGAGCTGCCAAATAAATCAAACTGACACCAAGCTAGTGAAAACAGTAAATATCGAATCGTTTGTCAAATGTGGATGAATTGTGATTAAAATTCAACTTACAACATCTTCCACGGTAAACTACAGTTATTGTAGTTCCAGCCAGACAGGCTTTTCGTAAGAGAAGACATTCACTGAAGTAGGACAAGCCGTCATTACCACATACTGGTTCGTACCGAAGGTTACAGGTTGGGCAGACGCAAGAGGCGGTCTTGTTAGCGTGACGAACACAGGTAGAGCCGTATTGACATTTAAGCGCGTCACAAGGGTCTAATAAGTGATAGCAAGAGTAGAGGTTTTAAGAGAAACATGGCATAGGAAGTACGTAGCCAAGTTTGTGAAGCTTAAGTTATTGGATGCTATCACATTACTTCTCATCAATACCAGTGTCGTCTTTGGCCATCGGCATTATCGATACCATTAGATTATCAATGTGATGACCATCATGAATACTATTACCATCATCACCACCACCACCACCGCCATCACCACTTTCAACAACAACACCACTACCAACAACAACACCACCAACATTGCTATCATTGTCATCATCACCGTCGTTATTGATGACATTAGATTATCAATATGATCACCATCATGAATACTATCATCATCATCACCACCATCACCACTATCAACAACTCCAACATTGCTATCATTGTCATCATCACCGTTGTTATTGATGACATTAGATTATCGATATGATCACCATCATAAAAACTATTACCATCACCAACAACAGCAACACCATTTCTATTATTGCCATCGTTATTGATAAAACCTTACCATGAAAATTATTTTAACATCACAACCACTCACACAAAAAAAAGCATTGCTATCATTGTCATTATTACCATCATTATTGATGATATTAGAGTATCAATTAGATCAATATTATAGAACAAAAGCGAGAATTACCCTCATACCATAACACTTTCCCTGATGAAGAACTCCAAGATTACTCTTCATTTCACAAGCTTCTTTTCTCAAATTGCACTCGTTCAAGTAGGTTTTGCCATTACTGCCACAAACAGTGATGTTAGAAGGAGGACAGTATAACGGGCAGGTGCACTGGTCAGACAGACAGACGGAAAATGGTGGGCAGCTTTTACTGCCACAAGCAACGTTGTCTAGGAGGAATGTTTAAAAAGAGATTTTACAGCGAGATAGAAGAAACTAGAGAAGTAGTTAAAGAAAAGTGCGTAGAAAATTAATTTTGTTATATAAATTTACAATTTTAGAAGTAAATTTAAGAAGTAAATTAAAAACAAGCTGTACGAAAGAAATTAAACAAAGATCCAGACTAAAAGGAATAACTCAGAAAAACTTACTACTGCAATCAAATATTGAGTTTTAGTAATGAAACATAACAAAATAGGTAATTTTTACTAAGAACACAAGTTGTAATTTGGAAAGAGAGAWAATTAATTAACAACGACAATTCAAACAAACCAAGAAAAGAAGGAACGAAGAAGAGTCCTTGGTAAGGTAATTTTTGTACAAGAAAGTTTACGAGGTCAGATAACAAGAAAAAGAGTGGAACGAAAACTATAAACATCTCTAACTTTTTTCGATTCAAAATCGTAGCTCTGCTCATGTTGTTTTAACTAAAAAAACAAAAAAAAAACAAAAACAAAAAAACAAAAACAAAAAAAAAACAACACAAAAACAAAAAAAAAACAACAAAAAAACAAGAAAACTCAGAAAACATCGCATTTGAAGAAATCTATGGCACGACCATCCTACCACAAACTCCATCATGTGCAACTGTGATATTTTGATTCGTAGTACATGACTCCAGTTGAAGAGCACAGACACTGAGGTACGTTTTGCCATTCGTTCCACACACAAAGTTGTAGCTGAGCTGACACTCAGATGCGCAAACACAAGTTGGTTTGTTGTTGGAAAGGAGTTTGCATTTTGCATAGGGAGGACATCTCTTGGCAAGACAAGGGTCTGGCACTTGTTGGGGAAGGAAAAGAAAATGGAAAAGAAAGAAAAGTTCAGGAAATTAAGAACAAAAACACAAGTTGGTTTGATTTTAGGACGGAGTTTGCATTTTGCGACATCTTTTGGCAAGATAAGGGTGAAAACGGGAAAGAAAAAAAACAAAAGAAGAGAAAATCAAAACAAAAAGAAACGTTAGTATTTCTCTAGGAAGAAATTGGCGTAGCTTGTAAACAAAGTTAAAATAAAGGAAAAAAGAAAAGTTGGAAAACTAATAAAAACGGCATACGAAGACAGCAGATTTCAAGGCGAAGGTCCAAGTTTGTAAAAAAAAAAAAGAAAAAAAAAAAAAAAGGAGAAAAGATGTCTTTTAGCTGTAAAAAATTATAGTCCAAGTAAGTATTTCAAATCAGAACTTACGACACTCTCCACTATAAGCCACAGACAGATCACTGTTATCTTGGCAGGATTTCAACTTCAGAAGGCAAGTATTGACGTACGTTTCGCCATCTGTGCCGCAAACGGGATCGTACTTCAGCGGACACTTTGAAGAGCATGCGCAGCTCGCAGTCCCATTAAGGTGATTAACACAAGAAGCATATTGATGGCACTTAATACGGCTACAKACGTCTAAATTGAAAGAGTTAGAAGCTGATAGGTAAGACATGTAGTCTGCAAAGAAGAGATAGACAGACAGACAGACATACGGACCTACAGACGGACAATAGCAGACTAGACAGACCCAGACCTCGGAGATATATCAGACAAACAGACTAAACAGACAGACCGACAAGATAGACAGTAAGACCGATAGAGAAACAAATCAGATAAAAAGAAGTAGTTTAAGGTCTAATTGACGTATAGATTTAAAAGTTCATGACAGACAGATCTTTATCCAGGCATTTTATTAGATAAAAACTTACCACATTCCCCTTTGAAAAGCACTGTAATATTTTGTCTCTCTCGACAGGCTTGCGCCTTCATTGCGCATTCACTCGAGTAAGTCTTTCTGTCGGAGCCACAGACAGACGCGTTTGTCTGGTCTACGGGACATTCAGTCAAACAGATACACAAACCCGTCCCGTCAGACTGCGGGAAACACTTGGAATAGTATTGACATGTCACAGTAGAACAAGGTGCTGGGAGTAGACGAATGGAACATACAAAGATATAAGATACGAAGGAAAGGAAAAGTCAAGAGAAATTCAAATAAAATAAGCTAGAAAATACGGAAAAGGAAATGAAGAAAAAAAAACCTTTGGGAATATTAAGAATGGAAAGTAAAATCGTCCTTGTTTTGCGAAGGCAAAAAGCCTGTGGCCCTTGAATTCCTCCATGATTGAATTGGCATTTACAGGATGATCGAATTGGTAAGTTAGAAATTCTAACAAGAAAACTAACTATCTTTCTAACAAGAAAGATATTTAGAAGAACTGCAGAAAACAAGGAAATATGTCTTGAAATAAGTTGAGAAAAGGATGGACTTATTCAAAGGTATAGTTAAAAATGCATAAAAAAGTCTGCTTTTTTTCCTTCAAGGCATTGTCAAGAGTGCTGTTACAGTTTATGGAAACTAGAATAGCATCAGAGAATTGTAGTCTCTTAGACCAAGCTTCTTTAAAGACTGACCATAACATGTACTTACTACAAAATCCATTGTGCAATAAAGAAACACTCCCATTTGATTGACAGGAAGCCTGTTCGAAGGCACATTTATTGGGGTATGTTTTACCATTGCTTCCACAGACTGGTTTATAATCCAAAGGGCATGACTTGCTGCACGTACACTCAGCTCGTAGGTCGTCGTTGAGAATGCATTTTGAGTAGAGTGGACAGCTCATGTATGTGCAAGGATGGACTATTTAGGTAAAGGTAATAGATATAGGCAGAAATATTGAATAAGGGTTAAGCATTATTATCACAACGTATGGCAAACGGGAAGGCTAGAATGGCTAGAGAGCTAGAGTGCTGTTTCTAATACAAATTAYATATAAGAACAAAATATAGAAGTACTAAGAGCGACAGTGAGTCAGGCAAATGAAAAAAGACAGACAGACTGGCAGGCAGAATGACAGAAAGATAGATAGACTGATGGATAGAAGAATAGATTTAATATGAAGAAACAGAAAAGACCTCCAAGAAAGAAGATAAAAATAGAAACACTTTGGTTCTCTTTTCCAAAAAAAAACTTTCCAAATTTTGTATTTTCATCACATCAGTAGCATGATGTCTTCCACCAACTAAAGGATCAAGCGAATTATGAAATAATCTATTTGGAAGCCAAATCTTGAATCCATCCAGTCATGAAAACTTTGGCATGATAATTTTGGCGGGAACCGAATCACGATAAAAAGTCTTGACCATCCTTCGGTCGGCAGCCAGGCATCTCCAGTCATTAATCGTCCACCTGTTTTTCTTGCACATCACAGTAAAGTTTTAAAAAATCCGATTGTTTTGCGTGGTATGTCGTCCTATTTACCATGGCTCTCGACCAATCAAGAAAGCGAGAAAATTTAAAGTTGAGGTAAAAAAAATCTTTTTTACAACAAGTGACACTTTCACTTACCTCGTGCTGTGGATCATCAGCGTCGACGCATCGAGGAGGGAAAATAAGAAAGAAAAAATGTTTAGCTCAAGACTTGGGAAAAATATATTCTAATTCGTGACACTATGACTAAGATCAAACGTCGAACTTCACATGAGCCGAACCTAATGACATCAAAGAAGACCGCCTCGTTAATCTTTGTATTAGTTAGGATCAGTTCATGTGAAGTTCTACGTTTGACCTGAGCCTAAGTAAAAGAACTAAAGGACCTTCCGTTATGAGTCAAAATTTACTAATAAACTATGAAAGATAATTGCATGACTTTTGCGTGACCTTCTATGACCGTGTGAGCTATAAAGCATGCGTTATGGGTATATTGGAGGCGTATGCGCAACGCGGAAGTTTAGTATTGGCAACAAGTACAGATACTGTTTTGTCCCAATAATTTTGATCTGAGTTATAGAGCATGCGCCATAAACGTGTTTGGAGCGCCTGCGCAACACGGAAGTATCGTGTTTGCAAGATCGACGAAACAAATACAGATCTAGCGCTACGTTTATGATTCTGCTGTCAGACCTATAGCGCCAGTCAGAACTATAGCGCATGCGCCATAAATATGCGTGACGAGCATGCGCAACAAGTTAGCCTCGTGTACTAAGGTTGATATGATCTTATAAAAACATACAATAAAGCTGAAAAAAGAAGTGTACAAAGGGTGCAAAAAATRCTGATCAGACTTACCACACAGTCCCTTGTATCTGACTGTAATTGATATTTGCAGGTTGCACGAGCGGACTTGCAGTTCGCATTGGTTTCTGTAATCTTTGTTATCCGACCCACACACTGGTTCCAAGACACTTTTACACGAAGCAGAGGTTGGGCAGTTACACTGAGCTTTACCATTGACCATAGAACATGTAGAGTAGTATTGGCAGTTCTTGATCTTGCACGTTTCTAGTTATAAAGAAATTATTTCTTTTTAGATTGTTGTAAAGTGTTTTCAAATATTTGGCTTTTAGTCGTAGTTAGCCTTATCGCGGGTTCGATTGCCGGCTGAGCAACATGTGTGAGCTGATCTGTTCTCAGTCCGTTGCCACTAGGGTTTTTTCCGGGTTCTCCGGTTTTCCTCCCCGTAAAAATTAACACGAGAGACACGAGGGGTGGATCCAGAATTTTTCTAGGGGATCGAGGGTGCACCATCCGGGCATTTTGTTTTAGAAGTGGGTGCGGCCTTTGCTCACAAACTCAAACACCAATAATACAGTAGATATCAACACCACTCCCCTAATTCCACCCCTGAGAGTTGACTGTCGTGTGTTGTAAATGGATAATTCACTGTAGTGGTAGGTCGTGTGGAGCGAACCTCAAGGAAGATCCCTTTACGAGGAGTAATGGTTATAAAATATAAGATTTCTTTAAACGCGGGCTACGTTTAACTAATGCTAATCCACCTACCGCATCGTCCTCTTCGAACAACCTTCAGTGCCTGGTTGGTCTTGCATGCGTCCACTCTCATATGGCATTGACTGGTATAGGTCTTCTGATTACTGGCGCAAATCTCTCCCTTGAACACAGCGCATTCACTCAGCGATGGACAGACGCACTGCGCTGTTCCGTATATTGTTGTAATACACTTGGCGTGTATGCGATGGCACTGCGCGAAGGCACAKGCAGCTAACAGAATATAATGAAACGAGAAAGTAAGCTTTGCTTGATTGCAATAATAATAATAATAATGATAATATTAAAAATGTTTATTTTCGAAGCAAGGGACTGGGTCCAAGTTTGAAAAAACCAAGTCAGTAAACGTTACCCCATCACAAAATAGAACAGCATACTATGAGCTTGTTGACAAAGTTTCAGGATGTTTGGTCGAGAAAGTAAGCTTTGATTGATTGTAATAATAATAATGATAATTATAAAAATCAATTGTAACGTTTTTCATTTCCCTGAGGATGGCCGAGTAGGCCAAAAGCTCGGATCATATTTATTAAAATTTATGGTTGATAAAACGAACTATTATGAATAATAAAAATGTTTATTTTCGGAGAAAGGGACTGGGTCCAAGTTTGAAAAACCAAGTCAGTAAACGTTTCAGAAAACGCAACCTCATCACTAGAAAGAACAGCATACGCGCGATTAGCCTGTTGACAAAGTTTCAGGATGTTTGGCCTTAAAGAAACATTATGCTTGAATGTTATGAGCATTCAAACCCTGCCAAAATTACTAAAAAAAAGTATGGTTTCCAGCCACGTCAACTGAAACCCAGACGTTTTAGATTCATTTGCATACGGACTTAGAGCATGCGCAGAAGAATTTCTCTCGTGTCCGCAGTTGCGTAAGTGGCAGTACACATACTAACAGGCTATGCTATTTTTTTTAAAGAAATCACTACGAATTATGATTTACTCACCGCAATACCCAACATTTTTGACTCTAACGAACTTCTTCTTCGGGCAGTTCAAGGCGATCATGTAACACTTATTCCTATAGGACACACGGTCATTACCACAGACGGGGGTATTTTGTTCAGGGCAATCTTCGAGTCGAGGACATTGGCATACGGGTCTTCCAGTGGATGCGTCACATCGCCCGTTGTATGGACAGTGGGTAAGAGAGCAAGGACTATTGATTTGACCTGAATTTGAAACATGAAAATAACAGAACAAACTTATTCATTGCAAACACTACCTGTCAGAGTTGAAATGTAATTTAAACCACGATGAGTATTGGGGCTTCAAAAGGTATTCGGGCTGAAGGGTGTTCTGGATAGTGGATATCCTGGGCATTTTTATAGTTTTAACATTAGTTTGCTTTCTATGTATTGTTTACATATATATATATATATATTTGTTTGAGAAGAAAAAGTCAAGACAACATTTTTCCCGACAAGCCTGTTTCGTGAATTGCTTCACTCTTCAGGGGATTTAATGATAAGAATATTCGTTACTATCATTTA